GAGAGAGGTACCTAGGCAAAAACACAGACGCTTCATAGACGTTTAAGATTTAATTAATAAAGTCACGATTAAACACGAAGAAGACACATAAATCGTTAAATCGGTTTTGTGCGCTTACATTATATGGACGTTGGAAACAGAGATAATGCACCGCGTGTGTCGGCACGTCCGTAAATATCCCGAAATATACAATTTGCCCTTCTCGTTCCGTAATCGGTCTACTTTGTAACAATATAAAACAATTATTTACATCGACGACTAGGAGGATTCGAGAACGATAAAAATGTCCAGGAAACTTAGATGCTAGATGGAAATATTCTTCTGTGAGTGTACGTGTAATATGTATATGTGAATGATTGTGTCGCTTCTGCTTTTTTTTTTAAATATCCGAGCTTCTCTTTTTCCTTCCGAAATATATCGTTGCATGCCGAACAGAAATCGTATATGATCTAGATAACGCGAAGCGAAACGAGATGATGCATTTGGAAACAGAATATACAAAATGATTCTAATAAATATATATATATATATATATCTAGAAATACTTCTAGAAATCAAGTTATAGAAAAAAATGATAGAGAAAACTTTTATTGTTTAATAAACACTTGCAAGATGTTGCTTTTTAAGTAGAAAATAGCTATGATCCAAGTAGAATCATTCTGTATATTTCGTGAATGAAATCAATGTCATCGAATATTACTCGATTACGCGACTAATCGACGTATTTAAAATCTTAGATAATTTAAAAACTTTAGATAATTACATTTTTTAAATGCAGACTGATTTTTCGTAACACGTTGCTAAAATCGCGTGCAAATTGATCGTGTCGTTCCGCTCTGACGATCTCGACGAAGGTTGTACAATTTGCGAAACATCCGTTGCGATTGACTAACCGTTAATTAGTTAGATTAGGACGAATATCAGTCTGACGAAAAGGCTCGTTACTAAAACGCTCAGGCACCGATCTTAGAAAATCGTAGATACTTATCTTCCCCGGCTTCATTTATCAAACTTATCGGCTACTTAAAGATACGACAGGTCAGAAATTAATAGAAAGTTGAATGAGAATGAATATTTGGAGCAATGTTTTAATCGCTGTATATAATCTCTTTGATACCTATAGAAATTTCTCTGTATGATGTGAATCATATTCAAAATAAACATTTCAAAGGACTATTCACCGGCGCGCGAATCGATCGTACAAATATCATACGAATGCAACGATTGCAAGATGTACATAGGTATACATATAGCCGACACGGGTGAGCCACGCGCGTGACAAATAACGTGACGGATTTGGTTTGGTATTTAGTGTGTGTCGAAAGAGAGCTCTTTTCTTTTTTATTTAAAAAAATCGATGTCTGAGAAATGGTGTTCACAATAATGTAGTACAACAACGTAACGGTATTACATATAGATAATATATATATAATATATATTTATATATATAATATTATTTATAATAATAAGTAATTTTTTTTTACCACAGTATAACATGGCTATATACAAATATTACAAATTTTCTTTCATTAAGCCCTCACGGATCGATCGATCGATCTAGCGCGAGAGTAGGCAGCGACGCTTTTCCATTCGCTGCTTACTTTATTTTCTTTAATTGCACGTTACAACAGGCTTGCGATCTTATTAATCTTAAGCCAGTCTCTCCTCTCCTCGATGCGATAAAACAAAGGGAGAGAGAGATAGGGAGAGAGAGCGTGAGAGAGAGAGAGAGAGAGAGAGAGAGAGAGAGAGAGAGAAGGGGAGAAAGAGAAAGAGAGAAAGAATGTGTGTATGTTTTTGAGTGCGTGTGATAAGAAGAAAAAGAAATAGGAAAAATGTTTCCTGTTAGAAATTAAAAAAAACCTGGGTTTGGAATTTAGAAACATATAGAAGATAGAATGAAACAGAGTACAGAAAATTCGTTTCGAGGCTTTAACGTGTTTCGTAGCAGCAAGTGCGAAGACACGTATGAATTTGCAAGATCATACGTTTTAAGTTGTAAAATCTTCCTGAGGATACTTTGATCGTGCTATGTTGGATCATCATGATCTTTGAAATTAGAAAATACGATTCAGTAAGTCCTCATTCCACTTACTATTTTTAAAAAAGAAATTTACTTTTAGAAAATTAATTTATATCATTATCCGAATTGTATGTAACACTAAACAAAATATAAAGTCCGTTATACATTTACATTCTGTCTTTGATTTTCATCAAGCTTGTTCGCAAGCTTATACAAATTATCAAAAAGATGTCGGTATTACGATCTGTATTACAGAACTGTAAAGTTTTGTAAGTATTTTTTGTAAAAAAAATTAATTCTTTTTTTCTACAACGTATCTCCAGATATCACATATCTCTCAATCACGGTCGCCGTATATGTCAAACTAAAAAGAATATCATTGGTTTTAGTATCGAGGCATCGTTCATTATTAATTTACGAATAATCGCGAATTGAATATTTACTTTAAACGAGATTGAGATGCAGCAAATATTTGCCTGGGGAAAAACAAAATTTGTCAGAAGTTTTATACGTAAGAAAAAATATATAATATCGGAAAACGGAGTGTTTGTGCAATCATAAGAGAGATCTTAATATAAAAGCACGTGCATAGTTCTCATTCAGATATTTAAGGCCGATAACTCGATACTATTACAATTACACTCCCATTCGTTAAGATTAATGCGAGCTGAAATTAGCGCTGTCAGATTATATCATCTATCTATTTAACAATCATATTACAATGTTTTATTTCGATAAAAATAATACCAATTTAATTGAAGATTGATTAAATTCGCTTAATAGCACAACAATTAATACAATAACGTCATTTTCTTTCTATGATTTTTGCCATATATTGCACACATTACCCGTAATCTTTTGCATTTTGAATATATCGCAGCTTTAAATATATTGAAAGATAGTAATGTATGTTTCGCAACATATGTTAGATACGATAACAGGAATAAATCTCTTTCTTTTTCAAAGATTCTAGTTAAAACTCTGTGCTGTTTATATTCCTCTTTGCAAGCCTTTCGTATTTACGGTTAAAATGACAATGACAAATTGACATTACGATCTTGGTTAACATTTAACTTGGTTTAAACCTTATGTTAAACGACCGACGATCATATACATACGTTCATATTGCACGATTATGAGTCGATAGCACGATCTTACAATCTATGACGAATATCTACGCGCTTTTGGCACCTCTTGCATTTGCATATACGCGGATGAGACTTGCAAGTAAAAGAGAGAGAGAGAGAGAGCAAACGGGAAGAGAATTTCATTTACTACGATAAATTTTTAGATATAGCAATGTTTCAACTCTTGGTCACATTAATCATATTTTAAATATGTAAAGATTATTGTTAAATTTCTTCCGTTAAAATGCACTCTCTGCGGGTTTCTCATTATGTAAAGAAGCTCTTGTGATTTTTTTTTTATTATGAAGTATGCGCCAATTGATAGCGTGTAAAACAGTGATAATACAAGAGACATACTCCTTTACACTCCGTATGTACAAGAGCTTCCTTAGCACCATTCCGTATATTTATTCATCTTTGCAGACAGAGAATGATCTATATTTATAAGATATGAATGTGATATTAGCGATAGCGATTTCATTGCAATTTACGTCTGTTTAAATTTCAATCTATTTAATATAATGTGAAAGAGGTGTATGTGTGCTGAAATATGCACCGTAAGACTCAGACCACGCTATATCATAGATTTTATCCGCGTTCTTCGATATACCGTAGCCTGATTCCGCAACACTAATCGCCTACATTATGTCTTTAACTAGAACGAAGAATTTGAATGTTATCGAGAAAGATATGGTACGCTACTTACAATGTGTCTAGATATAAGGATCTTCTTGATTTCACAGTTATTAACAATTATCTTAATTTTACATTCGATTAATTATCGAATGCATATAAAGTATAATGTATTACTTTCAAAAAACAATTGACAACCGCCGAGGGTACACGCATATGATATTTTCTTCCTACTTGTTATTATCACTGCGTTTATTTAGCAATGAGAAAAGCAATTAATAATTAACGAAGAAATTATAATTAACCATTTTCTAAATAAAGTGATAAATCTGGAAATGATTATATCAATAGCAGGATTGTGCATGTTTGAAAAGTAAAAAAGCTCGTTCCTGAAAAACTTTTATGCAGTCTCTTTGGTGATTGCAATTTTTTGAATTTTTTAGATTTTTTTCATAGTTCAGTATCACAGATTCGACAGTAATTTTTGATGATTAATCAAGTCTAAATTTGTTCAATAATACAATCCTGAATTGCCTAAACTAATTCATAGCATAATGCGAATGCGATATTAAGAGAGGATAAAGTAACAAATTATTTATATGGACTAGGTATTATTAACATAAATGTTTATGATTGTAAGTTGCTCGTAAGGATGTAATGAGGAAAAGGAAACATAAAAATCTAGATCGCTGTTGGCGTGTACCGCCGATAGGCATCTCCCTCCTCTCTCACTTCTATATCTTTATACGTTTTAATTACTCCTCGTTGAGGAGCATAATCGATCGTCTTTTCTAACTTTAAATTGGCCTAAACGGTAGATTACTTCACTATAATTGCATTATGATAAAAGCATGTATAAATCAGTAAACCTTTTCTTTTGTGCTTCTTAGAGATCATACATGATACAATGTACAAAGTAGTGTAAAATAAAAAAAGGGTTAATAAAGATTTATATATATTATTTAATCGTCAAGTAGCAGTTTATCACGAGCGGGAAACAACTTTCATTGACCACTGACCTGTTTCCAGAAAATATTTCGAAAGATATTTTAGACGCAAATACGCTATCCATAAAAACAATACAGATCTGACATCATATATGGATGAGATTAAAAAATGCACAGCATTTTAACGAGATAAAAATATTCACGTATAAATCTACTTAAGTTTATACGCTGTAAATAAAATTTACAAATATTTATACATATTGACGCGCGTTTCCCTGCAAATCTGCCAGTGCCCAAGAAGTGGTACCCCAATATGTCAAAGTGTCTTAAGAATTAATCACGACACCAGGACAGAATTTATTTTATTCCTACGCAATAGTCGACACGAGTGTTGGTAAATGAGTAAAATTTCTTCTCTTAAAGTCGATCTAATCTAAAGTGGGCTTCGGCGCTGGAGTCCGATATAACCATCGTAGGGTCAGCCAGCATTTGTAGACCATCCACATCGATCGGATCAAGGCCCTGTCTGAGGGCATCGTCCGATGGAAACATTTCTGGGTCAAAATCACCCATCATTGCCGTTCCGAGGTCTTTCACAAATTCCGGATTCGTAAGATCATCCGCACCAGAAAAGTCTGTAATACAGTATTTTTTATAGAGATTTCTCTATTATATATTTTATAGTATCTAAGCACTTGGGAATATTTTCTTTAACATTTTATAATTCGAAAGATTAACGGTTGAACGATCTATATTTATATACTTTGTTCTTTTGTTTTGTTCTTTTGTAATATTTCTTCAGTGTATAGAATTACATTCGTTTCTTGAAGTATTAATATAATGAAGAATTATCTTGAATAACATGGATTACAATTTTTCTTATAAATGTCATTAAAAAAATGTAAAATAGCTTAATTGAAAATGGATAAAATGGGAAATTTCAGCGATGCTTTCTATCACAAAATGCAATTTAAAAAATCTCGAAACATATCTACAATAATACCTGTGAGAATGATTGTGGGTGTATTTGGAGTTTGTGGTGTTAGCTGCTGAGTAGCAGTGGTCGTCGTCGTCGTAGGTTGATACGCCATTTGTGGACTCGTGCTGAAGTATCCCGTGTCTCCACTGCCTAATTCGCCGACATTAATCACGTCGTTCTGAAACATAAAGAATAGATAAAGAATTGATGCAATGCGAAAGAAAGTATATTAATTTCAATTTTTTGTAGTAATTGTTTTTTCGTTATTAACGTAAGGGTGCTATTTTATTTGTATGTTTTTGTTGTATGACAAATTTTTCAAGCCTGTTGATTGGCTATAGGATAGAAAGATCCGTGGATTTTTTGTCTTGCACACATTTGTTGTACAACAAAAATGCACAAATGAAACAGCACCGCTGTAATCGTAATACTTTTACAGAATTTACAATAAAATATTTATCTTCTCACCTGCGTGTAACTCGTAGTATGATTTGGTGACCCAATAAACGTCCCAATCGTGTTCGTCTGCACCGGCGTGTCCATCTGAAGTAGAGAAAAAAGAAAGAAAATCGTAGAGATGAGCCTGGCATCATTGAAAAGCCTCGGAAGAATTACCGCAGTTGCGATCTAATCGGATTCATCTTTAAGTGAATACAACGTTGATTCCTCTCATGTGTAACACGCGTCTCCAGCCCCAAATGCTTTTTATAGAATGATCCGCGAGGGACATCGTACGCGCGGGAGGGAAAGCAGCGGAAGAAGAGTATAAAGGGAGAAATAAATACGATCGAACCGTAAGCTCGTAAGCTGGTGCCGCTCGCCTAAAGATCGCCCATTCTTCAACTTCGGAATCTATCACAACATTAGTTACTGTTCGATTTCCGGATACTCCGTTTCGCTTAATAGCTATTGTTAAATGAAATCCGTTTTCGCTTAGTCGGCATCCACGATAAACTTATTGCTTCGTCCTACGTCTATTATTTCGCGTACGAGTTTTCAGTTGGCCGCATTTATTCGTGCTTATTTAACTTGTCTTAAAATTCATGACTCTTTGGAAAAAAAATGGATTATTATCGTTAAATCGCTCTTAGATTCTTAGATGCCGATATTAAAGAGCAATATCGAATAATAATCCGTGCGAATGAAGTTGTTTAGTTTAAATGATGATTTTTATCTCGTAAAACATTATCTTTTCTATTCCACCACTTAAACTGATGGCTCGACGCGTAACTGTCCGTGCAATATCAAATGGTAATGGCTACTTGTGCGTGTAACGACGAGGAAATAAAAAGGGGGTATCGTTAAGGTCCTCCGCGATAAAACTAGTTCTGCAGCTCAGCACGCACGACATCGGCAACTTTGGCATGTGCATATGTAACAACGCGTTACCGAGTTTTGCGGAATATCAATCAAGAATACGTTACGAATTACGATTATTATTAGCCTCCTGATACACATAAAAGCCGCTATTATATAGGTACTTTTTCCCGTTTACGATTTTTTTAACGGCACATTTGAAATTTGTTTTCGATCGGGGTAATGTTTTAAACATCAGTGTGAAATGTATAGTGGCATAGTATTTCACCGCGAGTAATATTTTACCTTAATCTACAAATATTTCACCCTTCTGAGATCTGATATTTTTCCTTTGCCGCATGTGCAAGCGAGTTCCACGCACGGGAATACATTTGGTACGTTTATATGCAAACCTCTGCTGTTTGAAAGTACCGTGAAAGATACGGCACTTGTATAAATTCACCGTTCTTTTTTTTATATATAAACTAACAGGTTGTATTTATAAATAACAGGTTGTAAGATATCGTATCAATCATTCGCCTTTTTCTTTAACTTGATACACTCATTAGATATTTAAATCCTATTGTGAGAGCAACGTTCTTATATTCGATCTTTAACAGTCACAATACAACACATATATATGTAATAATAGACATACAATTATTAATTTTCGAAAAAAATACTTTTTGCAGGCCTTGTAAAAAGCGTACCACGACACAACGCTGGACATATTCTCAGTACTGAAATTGCAAATAAAAATGTTTCAACTAATGGCGATATTTCACCTCTATCTGCGTGGTCCAGGTGCAACCGAGTTCCATCAGCTGCTGCGCAAATTTGGGCCACTCCTGACGAATGCAGGCAACAGATAAACAACAAGACTTAAGACTATAAGTCTAGAGGCAATATAATCAAATATAATTATACAGCCGTTTTTTTTACCGGCTTTAGTTATAAGGCTAACTTTTATAAAAAATCTATTTTTTTATGCAATTGTAATCTAATAATATTATTATAATTTCATATTAGATGCATTTCATTCAATAAAAATATCAAGAAAATCATAATTTGAAGCCTTTGAAGAACGGAACGTTTGACGATATAACTGAGTAGAATATCAAGTGATTCCGACAGAATAATTCATACGAATCATTCGCTTGGAATAATTCATCACGTAGCATTAATTATAACTTTGAAGGTCAAATCGCCTGAAGAGTAATGCATATTATATGTATTGACATTCGCAAAACCAATCAGCTTGTATGTGAAAAATGAGTATTCATATATGCACAGAAACTGCAACACTAATGATCAAAGTATCTAAATGAGGAATTCTAAGGCTAATTAAGTTAAAATAGAACTATTTTGTAATTAGCGTCTCATCAAAATTTTGACTCGTTAATCTCGTTGCTTGTCTTTATTTTTAACCTTTACTATTCATTAGATACGAGCAATTCAGCGGCCAATACTTACCAGTCCCTTCGACATGCATAAAAAAAGATTGAGCGCCAATTAGGATCGGAATATCCCTTAATTAATTATAATTGATGGATTGGTTGTAGTTATACATAATTATAATTGTCAGATTGATTGAATTCAGATCGGAATTAAAAAACTATATTTTTAGTGTCCGTATCTCTCATTGCGCGAATAAACGCAACACGATGAAAGAAATTAATTACGGCGATCTCTCGTTTGAAAATTCAATTGTCTTTCGGGAACAGTGTAATGAAACGCGCGAGTATTTCTGATGTTACGGTCATGCGCGTGTATACCTATTACAAGTAATAGCATGCGGAACACACACACACACACACACACTCTCTCTCTCTCTCTCTCTCTCTCTCTCTCTCTCTCTCTCTCTATGTTTTCTTTCTCTATGCGAAAACCCGTATGCAATTATATGTTGAAATATACCGCGTAAAACGTTTAACACGTATATATTATGTTCTGGAAAGGCGGATTAACAAGGTCTAACAGCAGTGCGAATTCACGGACTTTGCGCATTTCGGAATTATCATTTACAGGCTGCCTGTCCCAAGAGATAGAAATTATATATTTCCTTTGTCCAAGATAGAGCTTCGATTAAAGAAATAAGAATGCCAAACGTATGACTGGACCATTGCCAATGTGTCAATCGAATATTTCCGATAGTTTGGAAAACTTTTACTTTCGTTCATCTGAATGAACCGTCGAGCGAACCAATATTTTAATTTTACTAAACTTTAGAACTTCGGGTCAATCGGTTTAACGTCAAAATTTAAGAGCTCTTTTTCGGAAATATGTCCGCCCACGACACTCTTCGCGAACTCAAACGCATAAGTCAATCCCTTTTCCAACCATGATTAAAAAGCGAATGACTCACATACCATTGTGAACTGTTCGAAATCCTGTTGGAGAGCCGCCGCTTGCGCCTGATTGATGAAATAAGTATTCTGATCGATAGGATCGGACGTCAAGCTGGGTGGACCCGGATGTCCTGTAGGACTAGGCGGCGCCGATGGATTATTGCTATAACTTAAGGGACTTCCCTGAAAAAGGAATGCGCACTACTTTCAAACTCGTTAGTCGCACGAAGCTAATATTACAGACACGAGAACGGAACTTTTTTCACGTTATAAATCTTTTGCACTTAATTGTTATTAGATTATTATATAAACGATGACTCTATATAACGGTACCATTTAAATTATTTTGAAAATAATACTGTATCTCTATGATAAAAGGCTAGAGCGTTATTAAACACTTGTTATTTATTAATATTTTATAAGATAAGAGATGGTCTCACTTGAACGGTTAGACTAGGTGACGACTGTGGCGACGGCCTGTTCACCGACTGTGTGGATCTATACGATCCTAACGAATTGAGCTGCGATTGCTGATGTTGCTGTTGCTGGTGCTGTGACGTTTTCTGAATGTCAAGTATTGATAACATTACTAGTTAGTAATCATATAGTATATAATAATTAACAACAATCATTCGTGTAATTTATATAATAATATTAGAGTTATATGAATTAATATTTTCTATTCCTTGAATCGATAATTTTTTTCGAGAAATGTGTATTTTGTCTACTCAATACAGCTGATTAAATGTCAAGCTGTATGCGAAAATAAATCAAGTATTTAAAAAAAATTTGTAAATATGCGTTTAATAATAAGTACTTACAATAATAATAATAATAATAATAATAATAATACTAAATAGTATTCACGCATTATGATAAACATTTTTGAAACGTCCGACTTAGTCGGTTGGTATATACTAACTGGACTTTGCGGTACAGGACTGTGCGGTTGTTGATAAATGTAATGGCCAGCATTCGGGCTGTGAGACGTCGCCGTCGGCGCCGGTTGCTGCGGATAGCTCTGAAGATCCTGTTGCGAAGTACTTGTGCTGTTTTCCAGTGCCACACCCTGCTTCATACCCATCGCTATTAACGATCGATCGTCGCTCTGTCGCCTCTCTCGTTTTGCTCTCTCTTTCTCTCTCTCTCTCTCTCTCTCTCTCATACACACAAACACATATTCTCTCTCTCTCTCTCTCTCTCTCTCTTTCTCTCCTTTTTCGCGCTTTCGTGTAACTAAACTCAACTGAATAGACGCTACATAGTCGCAGCAGGCTCGCGTAATCGATCTCTACATCATTGATTACAGCATCGGACTTGCGGAAGCGGTTCGCCGCAACAACAGAGTTGCTCCACTGAATTTGTAGCAAACATTTGAATTTGACTTCGAAGGTGTGCCATGTACTAGATATTTACGAATTACGTTTTTGGCAGTCGAGAGGTAATATCTTGGCACATAGGCTGTTTTCATACAACATTCAGAGACTTCGTCCGTGGTAAAATTCCGAAAGAAATGTTCGCCGATAGAAGAAGTTATCTCAAGTCTCTTTCAGAATCTTCTTTTTGAGATTTTTAGATCGTCAATCGTGCAGCGCGTCATGAGACGTTCATTACGTTACTACATAGAAATAAATGATTCGCATAAGCTGAAATCATTTTAGAATTATTATTGCGTAAAACTACTATTCCGTTCCTTCTGCCAAACGCAATTATCGCAGGCATTACTTTTCGTTTTCAAGCCCGATGTATGTTGCGACGAGCCGGTATGTACACACTACGCGTTAGCATACACACGTTTCGTTATTGATTGTATTTCGAGTCTGTCTGCAAGCACGGTGCTATGTAACAAGCAAAACAATAAAAATGCCACGGTGTTAACGGCCATCGCGCGACTAAGAGGCAGCAACATAAGCATATACCGTATTATTAAATACTTCGTGAGAGCGAGAAACTGGTGTGTCTACTAACCTTACACGTGTGAAGAAACCTAGAGTTAACAGGCACTGATAAATGGGTCTGCAAAATAACAAACACAAACAACCACTACAACAAAGGCAAAATAAAAATAAATAGAAAATTAAGAGAGACAGACGTCGGTATAAACGCGCGTAATATCGTCCGAATTTTTCTGACTGTCACTAAAATATACGTCCTGATATTAACAAATGAAAACAACCGTATTAAAAAGCACAGATTTTTCTTTTTCATTAAAAATATGTCGCGCCAGCGAGACGCAGTTTCCTCGAGTAATTCATTTCGCGTTTTCAGTACGGTTTAACGATCAGAATTATCGAGCAGGCTCGATAAATGTTATTAAATTCTATATTAATAATGTCAGGACGCATTTAGGTCACAAGTGCTTTCCATAGCGTGCTGCAAAAGTTTCATTTCGAACTTAACGCTGCATAATTGCGCGCAACATTATATCCTTGTTACGTTAACCATAGAAAATTACGCTAAAGAAAAAAGAAAAGTTGATATTCAACTACGATGGAATTTGTATACTCGAACATCGAGAGAGCATGCCGAGAAAAATTGCTTTTCGTGAAAGATGCTTAAATCTTTTTCTGATTAAAGCAATGGCGTTTTCAAACAGTACTGAATTAGCATGAAAGCAATCCAATTACATGCGAAAATTGTTGCTAGGAATTCTTCACGTTTACGTAATATCTGAAATGTAGCGCTTCTCGCGATAGATAATATTTCTTAAATTTTCTTTTTTCACTGCGCAATCTGTGTCGTTAGCTCTGCGTCAAATAAACGATCTACTTATATCTTTTTCCTGAAAGCAGCTGCAATACCTCAAGATTCTAGCGCTACTCTAATTGAAACGATCTAACATTTAAGAAAGCACAGAAAAGCACAAAGAGTGTTCTTTGCATGCAACCATCGCATCCTAATTTACATTCTCCAATAAACAAAATCGTTTTACGGAACCGAGGTAACATTTTTAGCGATTGTTTCTTTAAACTATACATATATTTGACTTTCAAATTTATTCACATACGTTTCGTTAATTTAGATTTCAAGCATATACGTATATCATGCATGTATACATCACACAAGTTTTTTACCTATTGTGGATTTAGACTGAAAATGTGCTTTTCTCGATTCCGTAATCTGCTAGTAAAAATGCGAAATATCTGAGCATTCGATATTGTATCGCGATGTAAACTTAATTAAATTTCTTGGGACGTGACCCCAAAAAATTTTCATAAACTGGTTTTAAAAAATCTCAAAATAACTTTCAGATCGGTTCAAATCATTTTCAGATATTTTGCACGTTTTATAACATTCTACGACAGCGGCTTTTAACCGAGATCTACGTATTATTGATTTGAAGTCTTTACAACAGAAGCTCTTTAGATAAATAAGTAAATTTCAGAAAAAAAAATATTAGATTCGTGTTACTCGTAATTAAAAATCCGCTGCGTTATATAACAGTAGGCATAATCTACAAGTAATATGGGGCCGCGAGGATATTTACTTGGACACTTGACGGATCCTGTGAAAAGGAGAGCCTACCAGCTTGTGCCAAGCTGGTCGGACTGGACAGGTTTGTGGGACTGCTCGTTTGAGGACTCTGGAATATACCATCGGTTCGACCATTTCAAAAAGATTTCCCGCTTTCAGTAGTAAATCCTACTTGTCTACAGCTTGTCTGCACGTGGCTCGACGACTTCGCTCGTACGAGCGATAAAAAATATATAAGATGAACGGCGATTGTAGAAAAAAAAAACAAGAAACCGATGAGAAAAACGCGAACGAACAATTTCGCGATATCGACATCTGCCTTTTACCTTCTTTAATTGAATATTCTTTCGTCGGCCGCATCAATTGTAAAACTTTAAGTTAGTTAACCAATTTCAATCCGCTCAAAAGTAGAAATAGATTACTTTGTATCGACGAAAGCCGCTCTCTTAAAAAATAAATGCATTTCCTTCATAAATAATATTTACATTATCACAATTTTTATACAAACAGATCGTCTTTCAGCCACAGATACTAGATAATTATTATATACCTATATTTAAATAGAAATCTAATTTAAAAACAATGAATTTTTGTTGAGATAAAATTCTGACTCATTAAAAAATTAGCAATTAAATAAATTTAAAATGTTTTAAATATCAATCTTTTATTTGTCACAGTAATAATTTAAGTTGAAAGAGATTCAACTCTAGCTGATATTGTATATGGTATCTAAAGTCTAACTGGTAAAATATCGAGATTTTATCATAGACCGGATGGATTAAATTATCTGTTGAATAACAATGAGTAACGTCACTTATTTATAGAATCTATTGACGATTGTAGCACAATAAATAAAATTGTCTTTCGTTTTTCATTTAATACGTGCAAAATCGCTCAGAGAAACATATTTGATAGCACAAGACAATAATAAATTTATCATAACATGACATTCAAACTATCATTTAAAGTTCTATAATTTTGAATACCATTTTACAGACATTTTTTCTGAGGATTAAAGACAGGTGAGAGAATAAAAAATATTTAAAAAAATGAAACGTCGCTGTAAAGCGATTAAGACTCGTTCAGAAACGTGCAGCCTCGCGAAAAGTGCGTATAATATCAAGAAAAAAGAAAAGAGAAAATATTATCATAGTTGATGTACGATAATCAGTTGAACAACTTACATTGCTGAACGGCGTACTACTCGAATGATCCTCCTGGTCCAGAGGAGTGTGGAGTGGCGACGGAAAGTGTACGTTGCTCAAGTCGGGCAACGACCCTGTGTTGTTGCCTATAGGTATTTGCTGTCCCGGTGGTTGCGAGCTCGGGTATATACTGAACAAAAAAAAGTTCACGAAAATTGTAACTAACTCAATTAACTCTCGCAACGCAATCAAATGAAAGTTTTTATTGGATGTAATTCCACCACTCAGTGCAAAAGTCATAAAACTGAATCGTGAAACAAACTGGAAGAGACATTTTTCGAACTTTTCTGTTCACACGAAAACGTTAATTTTTTAAAACTTGCTATTGATTTCTTATCATTTAACAATACGTACTTAATCCCAGGCACTCTAGGCATTTCGCACGAGGATCTTGGTCGTTCGATGAAACCATGATGAGAATCTCTGTTGTCGTTTCCGCTTCCAGTCATAGCGTGTTGATCTGTTAATTTCAAAATACATGATTTATCAAGTTTCGAAATTACACATAACGACGTAAAGCCGATATATGTTAATGTGATTTCTCTTATTTCAGACAATATGTTGCTTGTTATGTTGTTGCGCTGAATATAAAACGATCATTTTGATACATCTTTCGTTACGGTTGTACAGAATGCATGAAGTTTCTCAAACTAGTTATCCGATTTCTCCGGAGCAACGTAATACCGCTTACTTACGTTACTATCGTATAACATTTCATATGTTTCGTTGTACACTGATCTCTAGCACGAGATCGCTCCGCAAAGTTTCGTGATTTTACGCGATCTAAGGATAATTTATATCAAAACTATACCGTGTTATTGCTCTGAAGACTTTGCATGTCACATCTGCACAAAGAACTTTGCGAACTTTGTCTTGGGAGAGGATCGATCCCTTGTTTAAATTGTATGAACTTTATAATCGGCGTATAGTAAAAGCATCTAATTAGTTTCGCGAATACTGCAAGATGTAAAACCACGAGAATTCTAGGTTCATAGTTTGGAATCGTGAAAGCCTTTAACAGGTAGATTATAAGCTGCATGCACTTCAGAGGCGAGCGTGCAAGATCTGAGAGATCAATCTCTTTGTAAAATTCTCTAGGTAACCACTTATACATATAAGCGAACGAAGCGGTGTCGCGATATAACGAGGTAACGAGGCAATATGGTAATGACGAAATTTCCGAGCTGATTTGTGAAATCGCGTCAAAAGTCAAAGAAGCAACTTTGCGAAGAGTGTTTTATATAGAATGAACTAATTAATATAGCGTCCAAACGACGCTGAAAAACTGTGTCATTCATCTATGCGAATACTCAATCACGCTCGAATTGTTAAATGTCGAGGGAGTAAAATTTCACGATTTCATTTTCACGTAAAATAAATCACGACGTATCATTTTAGCCTCGTTTAAATTATTAACGGTTGACAAAATAATGTTTACGTGTGAAATGATGAGTTTTATGCAAGATGTTTAATTAATCGTTCTTTTCATTATGACGGATCTTAATCAACTGCAGTAGAAGAAATATGCTTTTAAAAAATATAATACTTATGACAAAATTTAAATAGAATACACATATCTCAACATTATACTCCATATAAATTGGAGTAAATAGTTCCGTTTTTTTATTTATAATAAAAATACTTGAAAAAACACAAGTATAGACATTAATTCCCGCAGTGAGAAAAATTTTTGATTGAAAATGAATAAATCAGAAGTTTCTAATCATATCAATCAAAACTTTAGTTGAAATAACCAGATGTTCAATTTTGATCAAAATTCTGATTAATGTGATAAGAATTTTTTACTTCGTTTTCAACCAGAAACTTTTCTCAGTGGATAACAGCACGTAGCAAGCGCTTTGACGTAACCTTATATTACGTGAGGTTCCATATGCTATCTCGGTAACGCAGTCTTTCACTCAGCATCCGTCATTGAGAGAAAGCGCGCGTCGCGGGTCATCCGGAGTATACTGGTCGAAACAGGTTTACCCCTATTATAAATAAATAGAAAAGAAAAAAGTAAAACCGACATGCGTCGCTACCTCGTCGATGAGGTATTGCGGAGGTTGATTGGCAAGCCTCGTTGGCGCTCTGATGCAAAGCGGAGTCCGAGTTTGTTCTCCGCCAGGTATCCGGTGGCGGTGGCGACAGGTAAGGCACGCCGCTGTACGGTGACGTGTCGTGCCTTTTTTCCATCGGGCGAGATCGCATAGGTCCCACCCCCATGCTTCGGCTCCTGTTGTCGCTACGGTACATGATGGCGTTATGCTGCATCTCCTCCAGATTGCTGAGCGCCGTCTGCAAAAAACGCATAAATCCTCCTTGAGGATTACAATTGGCATTGCGGCGGTGTAACACAGCGTGCAAAGATTACAATGTAAATTAACGATAAGAGAAACGTTTGTGAATTGTGCAGTAACGAGCAATGCTGTGCCTTTATTGTGGAGTAACTTTTTATGCAACTACACACACAAACGGTTTTGTTGAAGTATCTAAAGATAAATACAGATTTGAAAATAATTTTATTGGACTATCAAATTAATTATCTAGACGCTCAAGTTAGTTGCTAGAAAATTTTTTGCAGTATTGTTCATGTTTGAGTATACATTTATTTTTATTTCAATAGCAATAACCATTGAGAATATGTATATTTTTATAATCCAAGAATACATATAGGAAAGAACGATTTTGTTGAAGTATCTAAAAATCTAGCTAAATGTAGATCTGAAAAGAACTTTTTTGCACCATCAAAATAATTACGTAAGAATCTCAAGTATAATAAACAATGTTGTAAAAAGTTTGGACATTTTAGCAATTAGTTTGAACGTCTTACGTAATTATTTTGATAGTTCAATCAAGTTATTTACAGATTTATATTTAGCTAAATTTTTAGATACTTCAACAAAATTGTTCTTTCCTTGCGGTTTCTTTATATATTATCACAATCAATAAGTACATATACTGTATGAGATATAAATGTCTTTTCTGTAAAATTTTAATGCGATAAAATAATTTTAGCCTCTTGTTTGCAAGAAAAAAAAAACGATTGTAAGCGCTACTCGTGTCCGATTCGATTATCGAGCCAAATAAAAATACGAGCAGGACAGACTGGAGATATCAATGCTTCGGGAAAGAAAAGCGAGCAGTGATAATTAACGAGCACTGTGAATCATATCACTGATAAAATAGAATTCCGACGAATTACATTATTCGAAATTATACAGTGCACCTGAGAGGAATCATTACGAAGACACATTCACGTGCTTTATACGTGAGAGGGAGGAAGGAGTCGAGGTCGAAGCGAAATAATTCGCTTCTATCTATGTGCTTCGGTGGCAAAACCCGGTCTCTGAACTCTCCAACCACCGGCAAACCGACGGCGAAGAATTTTCTCGCTTCGCGAATCCCGCCTCATAAAACGTCTCGTCTGCTTTACGATCCGCCATCGTCGTCGACGTTATGAGTGACGATTAAAACGATGTAAAGAAATTTAATGCGGGTGTTTGGATAGCCCGGATACCTATAGAAATCCCATTTAGATGTTTCATCTGAAAAAATTCATACCGCGTAATATACGAGAAAATTCAACGCGTCTGAGCTTCATCGATATCTCGCGTTTTTCACTATAACATAAATTTTATGTGGCAATCTATCGAATACGTTATCACCTCGCTGCTTTCTATCGTGGCTATTTTTGCTGCGTATTTCATTATCAAGTTTTTCAGCAAACAGTTACAATATCCTTCCCTTACGCTTCTCGCTTGAGACGCAAGATGTGTAACAAGGGCCACTTCTGAGAAGCAATATCTCGCTGCTTTACATCTCGAGAAAAGAAGGCATTCTATAAATTAAACATCGTTAACTCAGTCAGATAACATTATGTTTTCCTTTTAAGAAACTCCAGATGAAGATTATTTGCGATATTCTCTACATCTCATAATCATCTTATCGACGATGAAATTATTCTTTAATTCTAAACTCTTTGTATTTCCGTATTTGTCTCTTGCGAGCTTACACAGATATATAATACAAGCAACAAATTTAATCAACAATCATTAATAACAATTAAAACATGTTTGGGTTAATTTAAAATTTGAGAGAGCTTTTTTATAAGACACATATTGCAAAAAAAATTCCTCTATTAATTTCTCATAAGAAAATAAGTGTCAGACTAACGGGAATGAAACGATCTCACGAGATTTTGAGCTTCCTGTCTGTGGCGAGAGTGTGAATCTAATAAAGAAATCTGCTCCCGCTGCGTTATTCGACATGTGTTGGACGAACGTGGGTCACACGGCTATTACCTAATATTTGTTGAATTATGCGATAAACACGGAACGTCTCTCCCACAATTATGGACGATTCGTGGACGATCGCGCGTATCATCCGCTCGTTAATCATACGACAGTATCAGTTTCGAAAGGCGTTTCGACATCATACTTCAAGTGGATGTGCCAGCAAATCGTTTAACGTGACACAACACTTTATTTGAAATCAAACTCTCATTATTTAATATTAAAGTTAGAAATCGAATATAATGATGTCTACATATAAGCTATATATTATATGAAGTTCCGTATCCAAATCCATTATTAAAATGTCAATGTTCGTAAATATTACAGTTCATTTTATTAGGACAAGGAGCAGCCTGATACGGAAGTCTATATATTTGTATATATATATATATAACGTAAAAAAAATTTCTTTCACTTCAACAATGAAGAAAGGGACTTGGTTTACAAAACTATTATTAAACCCACTCATCCATCCATACCTCCCACGCACGTTTACTTATACCTAAACTTACAATATTGTACCACACACACACCTATTTTTCTATTCACATCTTTCCCTTCCTTTGTCTTAACTTTCTATCTTTCTTATTCTATTATCATCTTATTCACAACCTAATATTATACTTCCATAGCTACTCTAAACTCTTGCATTTCTTTTTATATTATTCTATCACTGAAGTCTATACTATGTGACATTTCTGCTGATTAATTTCTCGTTTGATCCATACCCGATTTCGGCCCTATATTTCGAAAGTGATTATAAACAAAAAGCGTTTACGATTGCGCGTCTTGTTCATTACGAGAAACGATTTGATTCTCATACTCGCCGTGGCGAGTAGATGTAGCGATATTTATATGCGACGCAACAGTTCCACGTAGTTGGAATTGCCGGTGACGTAACAGCTTAACCACGCGCGCAAGCACGCGTGTGATAACTCCCGCGATAGGTTTTATCGAAGCGTATTTTGAGGAAGCTAGCGCCGCGATACAAGTTTTAACGACCGGATCATCACTACGCTACGTTACCCTATTTGCATAATGTAATATGCAGAACGTATCGGCGTCTGGTATAGTGACGATGCAAGAATAACTTCACCGCGACTTTTTTTACGTCGCATACACGAGCGGCGCACACAGATGTAGCGCGTGCACGTGTCCGGGATTCGTCGCGTCCGCGCGTATGATGATAGTAGACGTTAACATATTCCGCCGCGCATCGTAGTGGACGCTCGCTCCGGCCACGCCGGGCTTTATATAAAGCCTTTGTTAGGATAAAACTCCGTCCAGAAATTATAAATAACGATGTTATAAGCAGCCACAAAATGCTATTAACTTGTATGATTTATGACGACGATCGTGCTGCGATACGAGTCGATAAAGAAGAGCTACTATATTTTGACACCTAAAACAAAAGACCTTCTTTGTTAATTAAATCTGAAAAGAGTGCATCAGAACTCTCCTTCTTTTTTGAAACGCGCGATCTCTTCATCAGCAGAAGTCTCTGCTAATTTTTTTCTAAAATAATGCTGAGAAAATACGAAAATGCTGAACGCGTCAGATCTTTATGTACTTACTCCTTGAGAGAAAGAACTAAAACTTCACTAATTATATCAAAAATCTGGAAATGAAGTAGTGACTCCACGCGGGTCGACGTCTCCATTCACAACTTTCCTAATGTCAGGGCCGTGGGCGTCGCACGAGACGGCGCGACGCGGCGCATCGACCAAGCCGCGCTCGTTGAAGAATCATACCTTCAATTAATGTCAACGCTAATAAAAGGCATGTCCGTGTCCTCGCGAACCATATTTACCACATTCGCCATATTCGCCTGAAAGTTAAACGAGAATAATCAACCGTCTTCGGGCAGCAGGTCGATTCGCTCGCTTCCCTTGCGGCGATGAAAGAAACGGTACAAACAACGTTAGCATTCCTTTAGACGCGGTTTTCTTGTTGAATGCCGTGTATTTCTCGATTATAAAATACGTTGTCATTCTAGTTTAGAAATGAATGACCCATTTGAAGACAATGTGAGGCCGCTATCGTTTACAGCTCTGCCAGAGCGGCCTGGCGGTTTTCATAGTATCTTCATACACTTTTCTCTCTTTCTCTCTCTCTCTCTCTCTCTCTCTCTCTCTCAATAAGTTTCAATAGATTAGCGAATGCGCGAAGAGAGAGAGCTCATCGTCACTGTTCGCGGCATGTCGACACGTGCCGGTGATCAAAATGAACACACGCGACAGCAACTCTCCTTACCTGCATTTCCTGACACGAGGCCAATATTAGTCTCGCGAGAGCAACGTGTGACGGATGCAAAGCACATTGAGGGTTACAAGGCTGCGATCGATGTTACATACGTCGCGTCGCCGCCAGCAACCGATTCCCTCCTGTGTTTCACGTCTCGCCACGAAGAGACCAGAATGTAATTACTACGCTATCCATATTCAAGAATGAGATTACTAGAGAGTGGGCCTGTCAAAGTAGTAGCGCACACGTGCGCTCGCAACATATCGTTCGCACCCAATCGCATCGCGGAATGCAGAGCACTATGATAAATATCGCGTACTGTCCCGAATTTAAATTTATTCCGATCCTAACCTTGTGATATACGAAAGAATTGAAAGAGGTGAAGAATATCCTAATCCGAATGATAATAAGAGTTCAACTTCAAAATACTTTTCAGGTTTTTGCAAAAACTTCCCAAAAGATAGCTCGCTTGTTTTGTGTTATTCACATGGAAATTCAGCTCTGACCTCACGCAAAGCGAAACAAGTTTTCACAACGCGAAACTTCGCAACTTTCTACTAATCATTTATAGCTTTTAGTCGTTTTATTATAACAACTTTCTATTAACGATATGCGTCTTGTACTTGCGCCCACATTGATCTATCTTTTCTCTCGTTGAAAAATACTACATATTTATTTAAGAAGAGATATATTTAAAAACGTGTCTAGTGGATTTAACATTTCATCTAAATTTATGCAAATAATCATAAAGTTTATCGT